TATGTATATATATATGGGGCCCTGGTGGTGCACTGGTTAAGAGCTTGGCTGCTAAGCAAAAGGGCAGCAGTCTGAATCCTCCAGCTGCTCCTTGGAAACCCTACAGGGGAAGTTCTACTCTGTCCTACAGGGTCGCTATGAGTCAGAACCAACTCGACAGCACCTAATAACAACAACGTATATATGTGTATCAGTCAAATTGTTCTTAAAAACACTGCACAGTTCCTATTACAGAACTAAATTATAATCAATCATAAATCTCTGGAATCTACTTATTATGTTTAAGACAACACAAAACCGTAAGAGTCAAAGTACAGTTGGCCTCTAACTGGACTCATATTAACTTCAATCTAAACCTGTATGGACTTGATTCAATACAGGGACCTTTCAGGTACTTAATAAACCAGCCTCTGAATGGTTAAGTAATACTATTACAGAGTGAACTTGTAGCAACAGGTACACATAAAATGCTTCAAATCAAGCTAGTTCAGAGCTGAAGTCTAGAAGAGGAAACGTTATTCTGTTTCTGAAAATAAAAAGTTTCTTTTTTAATATTAACTGGCATGTCTCTTGGTACTTTTCCTTAGCACACCAATCTGAAACTATTTTCCCCTCAAAACGGTCCCCCAGATAACTAGTTAGGCGTTCGACAAGATGTACACACTCCTGTTCCGACCTCCACACTCTTCCAGGGGTGCCTTCACCCAAACCAAGGCTCAAACACCACCTGTAAATTGACTGTTTCCTAAAATCTGTCTTGAGAGCAGACCTCTCTCCCAGGTCCAAGACCACATATCCATGTGGCTTCTAGATATCTCCGCACTGGAAGGCCCGTTGGCACTGCAAACTCCACTTGTCTGTGACTTTAGCTTTTTCTCTCTCTCCACAACCCTCCAGTATGAGGCACTCAGGCTACTCTGAATTACCACAGCACCGCATTTTGTCAAGAAGGAGTCCTGGTTTAAAGGGCTCGGTTGCAAACCGAAAGGTTAGTGGTTCAAACTCACCAGCGGCTCCTCGGGAGAAAGCTGTGGCAGTCTGTTTCCGTAAAGATTTACAGCCCTGGAAACCCTATGGGGCAGTTCTACTCTCCTACAGGGTCACTATGAGTCGGGATGGACTTGAAGGCAGCAGAGGCATTTCCCCTGTGAGCCGCGTTCTCTCATGTCTTTGCGTACTCTTTTTTTTGCCTGTACCACTCTCTTCCCTACCTCCCAGCCACTCTTGTCCTTCAAAATGACTCAAGTGCCAGTTCTTCTGGGGACCCTGCTGTGACGACCTCATCTGTCCCCACAACATTCTTTGTCATGATACACAAATCCCACTACACTGTAATTGCCTACTGCTTCTCCTGGAGGGTAGGAGCTCTGCCTTTCATCTTCGTGGCTGCAGAAAGTCTGCGGTTACTCAGAGTTCACTGAAAGAATAACTGATTGCTCCTCTCATATGTCACAGAAACTTACTTAATATCTTACATAAAACCAGAGTTCATTACATATTATTTGACTGAATAGACTATGCAGTATCATCTCATTTAAGGGATTTCTTACTCAGAATAGCCTATACACAAAGATCTTTATCAATAAAAATTTTCTTATCTTCAACAGACTCAGCTTCTAATTCTAAAGTAACATCAAAACTGGTCTTCACTTTTTTTTTTTTTTTTAGTTAGCATTCACAGTGGGCTTCAGAAATGTACATAAATTCAGGAAAATTTTTAAATGAAGAGCCACTACATTTAAATACAAGAATAAGCTTTAAAAAAACAAATCAAGAAAACCACAAAATTGAGATGTTTTATGTCACCTTTAGGAAGACAAAAAGTATTTGATTTTCATAAGCTGATGTATTTTTATATGAGAAAAAACATGTACTCTTGCCTGTTTTTTATCTATAGAGTCAAATCCAGCAATTTTGTTTCCTTTTGTATCAATCAAGGATCCCATCGGCTCACAAGTAATGACATCACAGGTCTGTTTTGGCAAAGGTAGCAACTGTCGCACTTTGTCAATGCTTTCTGACCGCTTGTCTCCTAGCTCTTTCTAAAAGAAAAGCAGAAAGAGAAAGGTAGGGCAGAAATTACAATGAAGGCAAAAGTTTAACAAGAAGGAAGTTCTCCCATTACACATTTCCTTTTCTACAGCTGGGATGTTCTCTAACCACCAACACAGTCTAGGAAGCAGCTCCAAACTACATGGGTGAGTATGTTTCATTTCTTCTATTTAAGCAGAAAATAGAACAGACATAAAGCACACAAGTTGCATGACAAACACTGGCAGTGCTGAAATGACAAAAATCCAGGGAGGTGGTCACAATCAGAAGGCAGGAGGAGCTGCAGCACGGAAAGAACACTTTCTTGCATCCAGGGTCAGACATAAGGTAACTGTTGGTTATTTTATTGGAAAGGTAGTCAGATATACTGCTTTTCTTTTCCTGCTGTTAGTTTACCATTTATTTCAAAGGCTGTGTTAGTGCTTTATCAAATGAACTCGATTTTGAAGGATCAACGAATATGGCTTTCAACTGTAACTGCCAATCCAAGCATGTTTTTAGCCTAAATCTAATGTTGGCGTTCTGCTTATAGATCAGACTGTGGGTTTCTAAAGTTCCTTAAAAAATTAAACATGTTGTGAATATACTTATTTAAAAAAAAAAAACTTGAAGACTATATGCTTATAATTTGGGGGAAGTGGCAAGTGGAGATTTAACAAAATTTAATCCTATTAAATTAAGTTGGATGCAATACATAACATTTAATTTAACGAGGAATAAAAGAAAATGAAAATATTGCAACAAATTCATAAACAATATGAGCTCATAAAATAAGCAGATCACAAACTTACTTTCAGTTTCTTTACTAAATTCATGTATGCACGTTTGTTCTCTTCAGATCCCCCTGGGGATGCATTTGATAGGTCAGAGGCCAATGTTCCATTGATTAAAACACCCAGCATGTCAAGAACCGTTGTGAATAATTCACTAAGGTGAAAGAAAACAATTATTTTCATCTTAAAGCAAAACCAAGTTACACTTAATTAACTAAGCATTTTTCTTCAAGGCACAGAATTTGTAATGGTATCTAAGAAAATAAGAAGTGGCAGAATTTGCAGCAATGGGCCCTGGCAGCTGTTCCTTGGAAACCCAATGGGGAAGTTCCACTCTGTCCTATAGGGTCACTATGAGTCAGAATCCA